TACTCCCCCAGCCCTTGGCCCCCTCACCAAGCCAATGCCGTGTCCAGGTGGTGCAGCTCCTCGGACAGCTCTGTCATGACTGGGGGTCAGTCAGGGGGGGCAGCTCAGGCCCCCTGGGGCACAGACCTCCCCCCCACCATCCCTACATGGTTCCCAACAGCCCCCTGTGCCCCCTCATCCTTCCAATCCCCACATCCCTCTACTCCCCCAGCCCTTGGCCCCCTCACCAAGCCAATGCCGTGTCCAGGTGGTGCAGCTCCTCGGACAGCTCTGTCATGACTGGGGGTCAGTCAGGGGGGGCAGCTCAGGCCCCCTGGGGCACAGACCTCCCCCCCACCATCCCTACATGGTTCCCAACAGCCCCCTGTGCCCCCTCATCCTTCCAATCCCCACATCCCTCCTGCCCCCCAACCTCCCGCCTCCCATTGACCCGCACGCACCACGATGCTGGGCTGGAACGTGCAGCTCATGTTCCAGCTCAGGCAGCACCAGGAACGTTCGCCAACCCTGGCACTTGGGGCCCTTGAGGGGCAGGCTGTGGGCCCCTATGTACAGGATGTCATGGCTTTGAACCCCCAGCAGCCCACACATTGCCACTGCCGAGCCTCGGGGTATGGGGGTCAGCGGGGTATTGCCTCTTGCCCTCAAGCTGGGGAGAGCAGCAGGGGTCGGGGGGGTGGGGCCTCACCTCCCTACACAGTACTGCAGGGGCCCCGTGTAGGTCCCAGTCCACAGCTTCCCATTGCCCTGGGGGAAGGGAGTCACACTGAGCCAGGGGGGCAGCCGAGATCTGTTCCCCCTTGCCCTCCACCCACATACTTCAGGGCACCAGCTGGGCAGGAGTCAGAAGTAGGGGGTATCAACCTGGTGCAACACAGTGCCCTCGGCCAAGAAGCATGGCTTGCAGGCATCCACCATGATGAGGTCAAAGTAGGAGCACCAGAGCTGTCACAGGGGGGCTGTCTGGGGGGACAGGGCCAACTGGGACCCTCCAGGCCCCCAATCCCCCCATAGCTATCCCAGGGACCCCTCCCCCATCAGTTGCCCCAAGCCCCCCCCATAAGCAGCCAGGATCTGCTTCCCCACACCATCCACCAACATGCTTCAAGGGCACTGGGTAGATAGGGGTCAAGAAGGCCTCCCCATCCCAGCATCTACCCCCCCTCCCCCCAGGCCTCCCCATGGCTCTGAATCACCTTGTTTCCCTCTTGGCAGTCAAATAGGTAGGTCACGATGGCCTGCCCAAGACAGGAGGGAGGGAGGTCACTATCTCTATTGATCCATGATGAGATCCAGCCACTGGAGAAACTGAGGCATGCTACCCTACCTCACACACATACCCTGAGGCCTAGTTCCTGGAGAAACTGAGGCACAGTGTTGGTGCTAAGGCTCAGGCACTGGGGAAACTGAGTCACACCCCTCCCAAACCAAGGCTGCCCACCCTGCTACCCCAATGCGGGGGGCGGGGGGCAGCTACTCACATCAGTGTAACGGTAGTCGCTATCAGTAGCGAAGAAAACCTTCCCTGCCTCCTTCATGTGAGCCAAAAGCAGGGGTACCTGGGGCTGTGGGGCAGAGCAGGGCATGGGGCATCAATGGGGGGCCCAGCAGGGAGCACCCAGTGCTTGGGGGGCAGGTGAGGGCCCAGGGTGGGCATCTAGGGGATGAGTGCCAAGGCTCTGGCCAGGGGTGCAGCAGCTACTGGAGCTCGGGGGAGTCCAGTGGGGGGAAGCAATGAAGGTTGGAGGGGTAGGGGGGTTCTTTTTCCCAACCTAGATATGCCCCGCAAGGGGCAATCTTTCTCCACATATAGCTCCAGGTTCTCCAAGGTCTTCTCCTTCAAGCAGCCCTGTGGGTGTGGAGGGGGGCACAGTGTTACCACCCCCCCAGGCATGGCAGATACCCCTCCAGACTCTCCCAGATTCGCAGAGAGGTAGACTTAGTCCATGGCCTCCCACACGTCCTGGAACATGCTCTGGTACGACATGAAGAGGTTCCCATGTTCGTGGCTCATGTCACGGGTGCAGGGGGAGGGAGCTGGTGAGGGGGTCTGTCAGCCGGATCCCCTCCCCCAAAGTCCCCTGCTGCCTTGTGCTGTATGTCAGACCCCAGTACCCCCAGCCCTCACCACTATCCCATGCCCAGAGCTGTACATGAGACCCCAACCACCCGCCCAAGCCCCAGATACCCCCAGCTTGGGTCTTGATGTATTAGGGGTTGTTGGTGAAGAAATCAACCAAGCAGGTGTAGAGGTAGGTTTCTGCAGGAGCAGGAGTCATCAGGGGGGCAGGAATTTGGGGGTGAGGACCCCACATATAGAGGAGGCTGAGGGGCAACCTTGTATAAATGGGGGGAGGAGGAGCATGAGGAATATAGGGGCGCTAGGGCTGGCTCAGGGGAGGATCCTGGATCAGTAGGGAGGCTGCATTAGAGGGGGCTGGATCCGGAGGGAACCCTGGGTAAACTGGGAGGTGGATGAGTATAGGGAAGCTGGATTTGGGGGTCCCTGGATAATTGAGAGGGCTGGGGGACATGGGGGTGGGGGCCTATGCTGACCAGTGAGGCAGAAGGGTTCTGAGCACATGGAGGCACTTGGTGTCATCTCGCTGGATGAACTTGTTGGGGTAAAACCCCCGCACCTCAGCCCTGCATGGGAGGAGAAGAGGCATGAGCAGGGGCAGATCCACCCCTCCCGGGGCAGTTCCCAGCAGGGAGGCCTCAGGGCCTGGCCTTCCCCCCAGGACCCGAGGCTGGCATAAAACTAGGGTGGCCATCACAGAGGACACACTGGTTTTCTGCTACGTCCTCTGTTGATACGAAACTGGACACCTTTATGACCTCTATTTTTCTCTTGAAGGAAAAATAGAGGACATAAAGGCATTGGGTTTCGTAGTAATAGAGGGCAGAGGACAGAGTAGCAGAAAACTGGACTGTCCTGTACGATGGCCACCCTGCATGGAACCCGGGTGTCCAAGAGCACCCCAGGCCTGGCCAGGCTGGCGGGGCAGGGCCCAGGGCCGTGGAGGGATCTGAGGGTGGATCCGGGGGCAGGGGCATGTACCCCTTGAGGAGGTGGAAGCCGTGGGTGCAGAGCAGCGGGTTCCCGTGGGCGTCCACCTTCAGCACGGTCCGAACCAGGTGTCGAACACCAGGCCCCTGCGCCCGGGGGAATTAGGGGAGGCAGCACCCGGGACTGCAGCCTCCAAGCCCCCCTGGTGCTGGCAGGACACACGCAGCTTCTGGACCCCCATCCTCCCCCTACAGAGGTGCTGGCCCTGCCCACACTGGGGCTGGCTCTACCCTCTCTAGCCCTCAGCTCCGCCCCTTCCCTGGCTCCACCCCCTTCCCTGACTGTGCCCATACTAGCCCCACCCCAGACTCTAGCCCCCAGGCCCGCCCACCCTGCAGCTGCCCTGCCTCGGGCCCCTAGGCCCTGCCCGGGGGTCAGGCCGCTCACCTGGTGGGGAAGCAGGGGTCGTAGGCATAGTCCCGGAGGGCAGCAGGGTAGCCAATGGCTGTGCCCACTTTGGCACCGTGTTTACTGGCCAGTGTGTAGTCCATGTTGAAGTCAAAGCATTTGATCTTGTCCAGCGCCAGGCTGGACACGATGAAATTCAGTTCACAAAGATCCTGGAACAAGTGGGGGGCAGGAGGGGGGAGGGGTGAAGCCAGGGGGGTGCCCAGACCCCCTCCAGCACCTGGTGCCCCTGCCCCAGCCCCCACTTCCCCCCGCCACTGTGTGGGCAGGAACGACCCTGGTGGCTGGATGAGCCTCAGTAGCACGCTGACAAGGGAAGCTAAAGATATGGATAATGCTGTTGGCCTCACTTCCAGCCCTAGCCCCTCATCCCCTGCTCCTCTCCCATGGGTAGGGGTAACTGCAGGGGAGGGGCTAGGGCAGGCACCCCCAGAACCATACTGCCCTGGGCCCAGACCTGGGCCATTCACCTTCCCTAGCAGCACCCAGGTGCTGCAGGCACATGGTGGGTCTCAGCCCCACCACTCTCAGCCGCCAGCTGCAAGGTGAACAAAGGAGGCTGTGCCTCAGCTTCCCCATCTCCCAAGAGGCCCCTTTTATCAGGGCCCAAGGCCCACCTGGCTCCAAAAGCTGGGCAAAAAGTCTAAGGGAGCAGGTGGCATATCAGAGCCCAGCAGAGACAGCTCAGCTCTTATCAGCAGCGCCAGCAGGGCACTCCCGGCACCTCCACAGGCCTCCAAGCTGAGAGGCCCCGGGTGAGCGCAGGAGGGAGAGATGAAGTCTAGCATACCCACATTTATATTATATTACATATTACATGACATTGCATTATATGAATGCCGTTGCCCCCAGCACACCCCCAAGTTTGCTCGCTCAAGCTGGCTGTTCAGCCACATGTCCTAAGCCCCGTACTGCTGCCAGGGGATTCGTCTCAGAGAAAAAAAAGCGTGTCTCTAGGCTATGATCGACTGAGAGACATACAACACCCCACTGCGCCCCACCACCACTCTAATAGCTGCCTCCTGCAGTTCAAACATGTGCCATGAGCCCTGTACTGCCCCAGGGGGATTCTCCACAGGGAAAAGGCTCTATCTGAAGAAGCTACAAGCTTTGCCACACACACCCCCCTTCTCCCACCAGCAGGTCATCCATGTATTCCAGGCCCTGCATCACCCCATGGGGAGTCTCCACAGATCCCCAGCCCAGAGGTGATGCCAGCAAGGGGGGTCCCTGGCTAGGAAGGCTGCCAAGGCACAGTCACTGGGTCAGAGTCCAAGGAGATGCCCATGGCTGTGGCTGGGTGCCAGGAGCTCAGCCAGAGGATGCCGCAAGAGTTGGCTGGTGGGGCTGGGAGTGAGAGGCCAGCTGCTGGCCCTTTAAGACCCAGTGGGGGAAGGGGGGCTGTTAATTAGAGCAGAAATAATTAAAGCAAAGGGGCTTTTGAGATGGAAATGCCCCTCCGCAGCCAAGGGGAAGAGGAAGGAGGGGCACCCTCTGGGATTTAAGCCTTTCTGCTCCACTCCCTGCCTGTTTCCTCAGGCCCCGTGGAGTCAGGGAGGGGGAAGGACGGGAGTCCAGGGCAGTCTCAGGGCTAGGGCTGCCCCCTTGCCCCACCCCAGGCCCACATGTGGGCCACCTCCCACCTGGATCCTGCCCATTTCCCCATTGTGGGGGCTGCGGGTCGGGATTAAGGGGCACCAGCAGGGACGGGAGTGGGGGCTGCACTCACCAGTGCTGGGGCTCGGGCCGGGGGGGCTCTGGGGGGGGGGTCTTGGGCCCCTCAGCCCACTGAGCTCTGGCCAGCCCCC